TTTTTTAGACTTTAGAAACTCAGAAGCTGTTCAGTATTAAGACCGATACAGGCCGATACCGATAGGGGGCCGATTATATCGTGCATCCCTATTTTAAAGCCATGCAGAATATTATTACAGATTATTAAAGTTAAGATTATTCAAACAAATGTTACACAAGTCTCATGTTAGACAAAGAAAACATACATTAATTTAAGTCGATGAAAACATTTAACAATGGATAGCAATGGAGGAAGCTGCAATGCGTGGCTGCCGAATGCAAGAATGAAGCAGCGTATGCATGCACGTATCTGCTGATAATGATTAAAGAAAAAAGCACTAATATCAAAAATATAGGCAGATTGATATATCTGTCCATCTCCACTTTTTCATTTTTCAAATCTAAAATAATTTCTGAACAAGGCTCCATGATTTTGATAAATCGTACGTAAAAATGCGAAATATTTGATTTGAACATTACTTTCTTGTTTAATCAAAACATCTTTTTGAGCAAATAAAAAATGCAAAATATTTTATTATTATTATTTTATTATTATTACTATTATTATTACTCTTATTACTCAAAATTAAGCACTTTCCTCTGCTTGAAAAAAAGCACAAATATCTCAAGCTGAAGCAAAGCTTTATCTGAAAATGAAGCTTTAATCAAGATTTCTAAACATCAAGAATAATTAAAATTTTCCAAATTCACATGACCTTCAAGCTTATGATAAGTTAATAGAAAGGTCTGTCTTATAGGAAGTAATGTTTTAAATGGTTTAATGAACTAACTAATGCTACTAAAGGCATATACTATCCACACATATTCTTTTGATTTTTTAATATAATACCATTTGATTGTTTCCCTGTACTTTCTTGGTTCATAGTTTTCTTAGTTTTTAAAACATTCTTTTAAAATGTAGTTTTGTGATTTACAAATTGTTATGTTTTCTTGTTAAATTTTCTTCATTCTTTTTACCCCGTTTGAATCTTCCTGCGGGATTTAAAATGGCAGAATGATTGTCAGACATTTCCTGTTTCGCTGCTGACCTTCAAATATTCTTGTTCCAATCCATATTCCTACTTTCTCCAATTGGTGGTTTCCCCAAATCCTCTTGTCCTCCATCTGCTTTGTAATTATCCTCCTTTTTTCTCTTTTCTAATTTCTTCTCTCTGCGGATTCACCTCTTAATCCTGCCTTCATTTCTCTTCTCTCCTATTATTAATCTGTCCCTTCTACAAATCATTTCTTCTCACCAACCCTGACATCTTTTTGAGCGTCCGTCCCATTCTCTTTTCTCCCTCATCTATCTAGCTATCTATAGATCTCCTATATGTCCCAGTCATTACATCGTTGTTTATATTCCTTCTTTTTTTCTCAGCTGTCCTGCGGTCTGCGCTAAGATGTTGAACCTGGATATTTCGTCCCCGCTTCTCCCCCTCCTCCTCCTGCTCTCCATCCTGTTGCCGGGCTACGGTTGCCGGGCGGCGGACATTCCAGAGGACACCACATCGGAGTTCTCGGTCAGACTCTACCACCAGCTGCAGGCAGCAGGGAGTCAGGAAAACATCATTTTTTCCCCTCTGAGTGTGGCTGTTGCTCTCGGCATGGTGGAGCTGGGAGCTGGGGGGGCTTCGCTGGAGGAGATCCGAGAGGCTGTGGGATTTAACCACATGCTGCCGGGTGAGATAAACTGAGAAGAATCACACTCAGCAGGCTGAGAGAATAATGTACCTTACTGTATAGTTGAAGGTTCAGATGTGCTCTCAGACATTTATTAGAATTCAAATTTCAAATAACATGAAGGGAGTTTTTATGCATTCTCAACTCAACTATGTTTTTTCAGGTAAACATATTTATCAATACTTATGGTAAATTTTAATTTTGGATAAACAGTTTGAAACTATTTTACATTATCCAATATAAGTCTAACAGCAAAATAGAAAGTTATTGATTTTATTTTTTCTAAAATGGTTTTCTGTAAAGAAAACACCAATAAATATCTTAATTTCATCATCAAAAACTGATTCAGCTTAGATAAAACATCAGTCTAATGAAGTAACAACAGTTTATAAAAAAAACACTTATAATCTTCCCAAGTTTTAGGGATCCTTTTGCGGTTGCAATCCACATTATAATACTATTTACTCTAAACAAGTTGAATATTTCCATGGCACAAACTTTAAGACTTTTGAAATTCACTGTGTTGAGTAAAATAGTTATTTAATCTGATTCTTCACCACGCAGATGCTGTGTCTGCAAGAAAGTTCTCTCACCTCAGCATGCTGAATGCTTACATAGCTGGTATAGTTTGCAACATTAACCTATTCTCCTATTTATTCTGCTTGTAAATAGTTGACTGTGTTTAGAGTGTTGCACCTTTTAGGCTAAGAGGATAAGGCGATTGAACATAAACACTGAAGTTCGCAGCAAAGCACACTGTGGATTTTACAATTATCACCTCCATATAAATTAGAAAACACAATAAAATTATACAAGCATGTAAATACAAAACAGAGATGGAAACGTGTTTCAGTACATTAATGGAAGGTGAAATAAACAGCAGCTGAAATCCTTACTGAACGAATCATCTGCCTAGATAAAATAATGTTTACTATAAAAGTGAGTCAGTTTGGAGACTCTGTGTATTTTTTGTACTTTAAATATTTTTTATTTATGGCATTAAAATATGTGTGTACAATAGAGTCAATGTTTGTCTCTCCTGTTCTCCGTACAGGCCTGGAGTTCTCTTTGCTCCAGAACTTGACAGAGGCGCTTTCCGATGATGACGCTCACTACGTGATCCGCTTTGCAAACGCCCTTTTCCTGCAGGAAGGCATCAGCTTTAACCCGGAGTTTCTACATCTGATGAAGAAATATTTCCGAGCCGAAGTAGAAAACGTGGATTTCAGCGAATCCTCTGCAGTTGCTGACCGGATCAACAACTGGGTGGAGAACCACACAGAGCGTAAGGGAAACAGATAGAGAAATAGATAGGGGCAATGAAACAGATACAGGCAGAACTGTTTTTATACATGTTCTACTTTATCTAAAAAAAAAGAATTTGTATCAAGTCTCATTCTTTTCTATTTCTTTGTCTTTGTTGGAAAAATACCAAATGTAGGTTATAATTGAGTCTAAACTTTGTTCCCTGTAGGTAAGATCCGCTCGCTGCTGTCCGCTGAAGACTTCAGCAGCATCACCCGTCTGACTCTGGTGAACGCCGTCTATTTCCGAGGCTCCTGGAAAAACCAGTTCAGGCCAGAGAACACCAGGACCTTTTCCTTTAGCAGAGACGACGGCTCAGAGGTTCAGACCCTGATGATGTATCAGCAGGGAGACTTTTACTATGGTGAGCTATAGAAGTGCATGTGTCTGTAGATATTAGTGCAGAGAAAATGTACCTTTACCTCACCTCCTCTTCAGTGTGATTTAAATCGCTGATCTAAGATCTGAAATATTGATATTTGCTGCATACTTAGAGGGAAAAGTGCATTTTTTTTCCACTGGGTGAGGTCTCCTGACCTGGAAAAAAATGCAGACATGCAAAAAAACTCTGTGTATGAATTTTTAATTCGGAGGTCGGTTCTATACCAGATCAGAAGGTACCAACACTTCTGAAAATAAGAACTATTGAAACTTTCTATTAATATTAATATTACTACTGTGGTGATAATCTTTAGTCACATCTTTTGATTTTTGATTTTTTGCTGGTAAGAATTTCCATTTGAAAGCTACACTGCAGAAAATGTGTAAATAAGTTATTTTCTTCTTAAAATAATTGCATTTTTTCTTGAATTGAGTAGGTAATACACTTTGCCAATGGAACAAGACAATTTACATTTAAAATAAGAAAAAAAATTTGTCAGGTCTTATTTCAAGTGCATATTATCTAATTATCTTATTTTAAGATAGTAAAAAAAACCTAATTCCATTGGCAAATCATCTTATTAACCTACTCAAATTAGGGGAAAATACACTTAATAAAAGTCATATTTACTTATTCTCTGATAATTTTTGCAGCGTAATTATTCCCATATCTAATCTATTTTGTCCCTTCAGTACTTCCAAAAATAGCTGCATCACATCGTAGTTCCACTGCAACTAAAGTCGGTTTATTTCAGTTATTTTGGTGCAATCTGCATGCGGGGGCAGAGCCACCACACTTTCCCGATCCAGAAAGATCCATCATTTGTGCTCCTCTGGTTAGCACCATGTGTGGGAGTGGGTGTGAGAGCGGCGAATAGGGACAGCTCCTTGGGGAGAAGGCTGTGTTTGCCATCTCATCTTACTGCACAATAATACTGAATGACTAAAGTTTTTCGGTTAAGTCACAACCTGAAACGTAATGAGAGGTTAACCTGCTCTGCATTAAGCTGGCGTGATCAGCCTCTTATTATGGTTTAGCATTTTTGAGCTTATGAGATTTAGTGCAATGGCTCATGGAATTTTCTCTGCTTTGCTTAAAAAGGGGAAGATGTGCCTCTGTTTTCTTTACTGATATTCTTATTACTATTATTCAAAATGAGGACTTTGACCAATTACAACCATCCAGACTTTTTCCCCCCCCATGGTATTGCAAAGATTGTTGCAAATTCATAACAAACAGAGCAACTAAATAATCCCATTTATTGAAATATGCACGGCATTTGTTACGTTCTTCATTGATCCACCTTTGACAGCAGATTTACCCAGAAGTCTTTTTAAAAATGAGGCCACAATCTTAGAAATCTGAGGCAGTTTAACCCATTATTCTTTGCGGTACATCTTAAACTCCATCAGATAGGATAACAGATGTCCAGACACAGCCATTTTCAGATCTCTTCAGAGATGTTTGATCAGACAGCAGTCTGTACTTTGGCTCGGCCGCTTTAGGATATTTGCAGTGTGGTTCTGAAGCCATGCTGTGCAGGTCTCTGCAGACAGCGCGAAAGCCTGACTATACTTCATTTTTACCTCGTCCTGTCACTGGTACAGCATGATCCGAAAATAGTACAGAGGGCAGTACACCAAATAATCAGTGGAAAGTTAGCGAGAGGACGGCAGAGTTAACAATTGAAAACATTATTTCTTTTCCCATTAATTCTATAACTTTCAAAGATTTAGACTGAATAAAACCATGAGGTTTTCTCATAGGGGTCAAATTATGAGTTTGCTTTTAATTCGAAACACTAATTAATGTTTATATGATTTAGAGTCTTATTATTAAACTCTCTTGACTTTCTCTTTTTTTTTTGTTGCTGTCTTTCTTCTGTGTTCAAAGGTACATTTTATTTATCCATAAAAAGTCTGCATTTGTTTTTCTGTCATGCTGAAAAATAAACCATCACCCCAATCTCAGTTCCATAGCACTCTGGAACAGGTTTTCATCCAGGCTTCCTGTTTCTGCTGCTGAAAAACATCCCCATAGCATGATGCTGTCACCACCATGCTTTACTGTAGGAATGTTTCTGCCCTGCTGATTAGCCGTGCCTGGTTTCCTCCAAACATGACGCCTGACATTAACACCATAGAGTTCAATCTTTGTCTTGTCAGATCAGAGGATCTGAGAGTCCTTCAGGTGGTGTTTGGTCAGCTCCAGACAGATATCCATGTAATGAGATTGTCGAACGGAACGTTCTCCTCATTCCACAGGGGAATCATGAAGCTCATGATTCCCCTGTGGTCACCTCCTGTATACGGCCCTTCTCCCCCAGTCACTCCGTTTAGACAGCTAGGAGCTCTACAGAGGCCTGGTGTTTCCAAATCTCTGGAACTTCAAAGCATCAGAATATTTTCTGCATGCCTTCCCAGATATGTGCCTCTAGCGGAGGTGTCAAGTAACAAAGTACAAATACTTTGTTAATACTTAACTAAATACTTTGCTTAATTAAGTAGAAATTTAGGCTATCTATACTTTACTGGTATAATTTATTTTGAGACAACTTTTTACTTCTACTCTTTACATTTTTTTTGCAGTTATCTCTACTTGCCACCTTCTTACATTTTAAAAATAGACCAGTTCATTTTCTTTATGGCCTGTTGGTGTTAAAAAAAAACTAAAACCCATCAAAGTGATTTGTTTTATCCAGACTATTAATTTATTTGTAGTTGGACTTGATAAAGCAACAACTTGTTCACCACATATCTAAATAAACGTTTTTTTCAAAATTATGCGAAGTAAAATTTGACATTTTGAAAATTAAATATAATGATGTTATAATCCAGAATTTTAGAAAAAATATTCCTTTAATAGAATAGTGCAGTAACCAGTATGACGTGTTAAGCTTCTGTCCTTAACATTTTTTCCTGCATTACTTTTACTTTTACACTTTAAGTAGTTTTAAAAATGGTAATTTTACAGTTTTACTTAAGGAAAAATGATGCTGATGATACTCTAACTTCTACAAACATTACAAACTTTTACTTGAGGAATATAAATAAATCCTTTTTACACCTCTGGTCTCTGTAGAATCCTGTCTCTAAGCTCAAAGGACATTTCCTCAGACTCCACACTTGCTGTTTGCTCCCAGACCTCCTCTGTCTACTGTGTGACCTTATATAAACAGGTCTGCACCTTTCTTTTCATGTCCAATCAACTTAATTCACTAAGATGGACTCTTTTTACACTGTAGAAATATCTCAAGGACGACCAGTATGACCCTCAGCTGTTTTAAGCTTTGTGGCAAATTCTGTGTCTACTTATGTAAATCTCATAAACGGCTTGTTTCACATCATCATAATAGAATATTGTGTGTAGTTTAATTCAAAAGCCTTTGGATTGAGGCTCTGATGTATTTAAATGAGGAAAAAGAGCAGCGCTATGAATACTCTCCTTGGCTGTAGGTGTCGATCCTTTTTGGTGATTCCCTTCAATCATTTTTTGATTGCTCTGTAACTAATCAATGAGTAGAAAACTGAAGTTTCTGCTTCGGTACCAGCTTCATTTTATACGTTTGGAAACTCCAAAGATCAGTGTTTGGTTGGCAGCTGTTCCTTATGGTGTTTTTTTTTTTTATCGGAAACCCTAAACTACTGAGTATTCGTTACCATGGGGATAGAGCAAGATAGACCTTTAACAGTCAAATTTTCAGGTGGTTCTTTTTATGCAAAATCTGATGTCCCTACCCAGTCCAGAATCTGCCTGTTTACACAGTTTATTGCTTCAATGACATGATGATGATTTCCCAGAAAAGATAATGTTTGCAATTTAAAAAATTATGATGTTAAAAATAGGATGCATTAGTAATTGTAGGATATGTCGTAAAAGATTCTTCTTTTTTTTTTTTTATACACTGAGCATCTTTAACTTTTTAATGCTTTTTACAGTTTGCTGAATTTACTCTTTTCATTGCACATTTATCTTAGCTTTAATTGTGGTTGTGATACAGAACTTAAGATGTTTACAAATGACCTCATACCCCAGCAAATGATTTTTGAAACCCCCTACCAGCAAGATGTTTAAATCTGTGGATGTTTCTCCTCATTCTGATCCCAATGCATGTCTGTTGACCGATTAGGTTGAGCTGATATTTCAGTGACCAGTTTTTTTCTTTCAATCAGGTGAGTTCAGTGATGGATCCCAGGAGGCAGGCGGTGTGTACCAAGTGCTGGAGATGCCCTACGAGGGAGATGACATGTCCATGATGATCGTACTGCCTCGGCAGGAGGTTCCCCTGGCTTCCCTAGAGCCCATCATCAAAGCACCGCTGCTAGAGGAGTGGGCAAACAATGTCAAACGGCAGAAGGTGGAGGTGTACCTGCCAAGGTGAGAAACAACATATAGACTCACATTAAAACTAGCAACAAAAGTATGATTCTATCCTTTTACCGTTTTTTAAGTTCTACCCATTGCTTTCCCCTGGCATGGAAACCATTTTAAAATATTTTTTTATCCATGTTTTCTACATCTCATATTTTTCTAGAAACAGAATTTCTTTTTTTTTTAGCAAATATTGTTTTATATGGTTCTCCATTCATGACACCACAGAAACATCCTAAAACAGCCTTGAATATCTGTTCATCCTGAGCCTTTCAGAGTGTATTTTATAGGATTAACAAAATGTTTTCCACTACTTTAGAAATAATAAGTTGACAGACAGACAGACAGACAGACAGGCTTGGACTGGTAATCTGTGATACTGTGCATTTGCCCGGTGGGCTGGTCTTAATTTCAGCATGCGAGGGCCGGTCCTCCTTAAATCATACCGACCCCATCAATCATTCTCTGGCCGAAGCGCCTACCTGTGACAGTAAATAACTCAAGGAGCTCAAGAAGTAAAACAACGTTAACTACCTCAATGATGCATGCAGTATATATAGCCCTTCCTTGTCATCCACATCCTTGTGACAGTTGGCATATGGGGTAATTTTCTATTTCTTCAAACTGTAAAAGCAACAGTCCTTGCAACAATCTAAATAATAATAAAACTAAAATGCTTTCTTTAAACCAAACTACGATGTTCCTCTTTTATTTGGCGAATTTATGTTAGAATATTTAGCAAAAATATGTTGTGGTGCATGATGGGGTTTTGCATCTAAAGGCTAACGTTTTCCGTCTTACATGCGTTGTTGCCAGGTTGGGATGTTTCCCTATCTGGCAGTTTAGGATGGCTGTCTATGGGTAAAAAATGTTTTTCTTTAGATTTATGGCCTAAGAGATCAATAGACTTTGGTTAAAATTGGGAGACATTTCGTATATTGAGGCAGTTTATGAACATTTTTGGGGTGGAAAACGTGAGTCTGTGACATTTGACAAACCCGGTGATTAAGTTGTAGATCTAGTATGTGCGTAGCAGCAGTCACTTTCGCGTAGAAGTCTTTGTGATGGTTGTCGTGTGATGCTTGAAGATAGATTAGGTAATCCACAATGTGTTTTCATATTGTGTTTCACCTTTTGAGACGGACGCGTTTGGCTGTGCTTCTATTTTTTTTTGGGGGGGGCGGTGCATACAGTAGGTGGATCGGTGTAGAGTGAAAAATGCCAGGGCAGAAAATCGTTCCCAGTCCGAGCCTGGATAGATAGATACAGTAGGTATGCATTTTCGAGCTCTAATCATCAATAGAAGGATTATTAGTTATACACACAACAGATTGCATCTCACTAGAGACAGAAAAGGAAGAAACCCCCTGAGCAAAGATGGCCACAACAGGTACAGTTAGCAGTTTAATACACGTCCTGCAGAGCAGTAGTACCCATAACTCAGAGCCTACTGTCCTGCATGTTTCAGATGTGTTGTTTCAATACAAATGATTCAGATGAATTTATTACCTCCTTAGGATCCCATTAAGCACCGCAGAAGCTTGTTAGCAGAGTGAGGACATAAAGTAGAGCGTGTGGCACAGCTAAAACATACAGGACATTGGGCCCTGAGGACCATTTTGTGGATGATTATGCAAAACGGAATCTGTGGCAGAAAAGTAAAACTGCATAATATACCGCTGAGAATAATCCACTCCCTACATTATACACGGCGGAGGTAGCATCAAGCTGAGAGGATGCTTTGCTTCCAGCAGGCACAGGAAGTCTAATCAGAGTCGGTCGAATGAGGATTAGAAATTTAAGAGATAAAATCAGAAATAAAAGCTTTGAAGAATGCAGAGACTTCAGGCTGGGACAGATTCACCTTCCAGCAGGATAATGACCCCAAATACTCACTCTGATTTCATTTATGATTATCAGATCTACTGTCTTATTGAATAAGGTTCATTTAAAAACTTTCTTTTCTTGAAAAAAAAAGGTATTTTAAATGTTTCATGTTTTGTTTTTTGATGTAAAATAAAGAGATGTGACACCAAAGTAAAAAGGGAAGAAATCTGTTTGCAGGCAAAGCAGCAGTGCATCATATTCCTTCTATTCAACAGCTACTGTTTGTGTTCCATGCTCTAAAATCATTGAAATCCGTGTGACTACATCCTACTTTTTATCATCAGTTTTCCTTTGTTACCTTGATAATCTCAGCTATAATCCTGCATGACTTTTACTAACTAACATCCACCTTCAGGTTTAAAGTGGAGCAGAAGATTGATCTGAGGAGCATCCTGCAGGAGCTGGGAATTACAAAAATCTTCAACAATGACGCCGATCTCTCTGCTATGACAGGTGATGCACGTCACTCAATTCATACTCAGAATCCCAAAAACCTGCTGAGGCCTTTTAAACCACAACTGTTCATTTGAATAACAACCACATAGATGCAGACATAAATACTAATGGTAAAGCTGGTAGAGAGGTAGAGCAGGAGATAACATTTTCAAAGAAACCCCAGTAGCTTTCAGTGAGTGGGCAGTTCAGAGCTGCCATGTCAACCAGTAAAAATAGATCCTCAAAGAGAAGCTGAGTCAGAAATAAGAAGGAATATGTAGATATTTTCACATCAACACTAGAAAGAAGAACCTTTAATTTGTCACGCACTGGTAACATTAATCCTGCTGTTAAATTCAGCTCACTCCTTTAAGGTGGAAAAAGAGGGGATTACATTGTAAAGCCCTGTCTTTAGACAGAATGGCGACTTGTGCACGTACCTATTCAAACCTCTTCAGCTTGACATATACTCAGAGGACGGGGCAGATAAGAGGAAGGCCACTTAACTCACTTTCAGTCTCCGTGGAAATAATTAGGCTGTAACCTGTGAGCAGAAATAATGTCTTGATGTAATCTATCTGTCTGCTTGGAAGTGTTGGTTTTACTAAAACACACTCAAGACTAGTGTGTTGTCATCCTTTAGTTAACCCTTTATAGGGCACTCAGTGAAATATATTAAAAATCAAGATTTCAAACCAATAGTGTTATTGGAATCCGGGAAAAGACCTTATTACCTTTGTAACATTCAATAAATGTGGATATTTTGATGGCAGTGTAATAACAAGAAACACCAACATGCCCGAATATATTAAGAAAAATAATAAAAGTGAAAAAAACACTTTTTTTTTTTTGGTCCAACATAAGCTTAGAGAGATTAATGCTGATACTGGCACTTACATTTTTTAGTTTATAAGCCTAAATATAATTATTAACTAGGCTTATTAACTTTTCAATAAGTTTTTTACCTTTTTTTTGTTGACTTGTTAACTTTTTTTCAGCTTAAGTTACAGTAGGTAATATATCATTCAAAATACAATAAAAATAAATAAGTAAATAGATTAAGATTCTCTACTTTATTGTCATATGCACTTTACTGCACGCAAACTGGGTCTGTAACACACAGGCATCATTTCAGGGGTTACTTTGAGCTACAGGCAGGGTGCCCTGGTTACAGGTGTCCAAATGTTGAGGTGCGCTCTGGGGTCGGGAAAATAAAGTCTTTCATGAGTGGACGAATCCGAAATGCGTTTCTGTGCCATATCCTCTCCTCGTTTCTTTGATTAGACTATGTAAATTTACTAGTCTGCTGCCTCTTTACTCTGCGACCAATAGCTAGCCTGACGTTGTCATGACAATGTAACTTTTGGGAACTTGTGATGTTTAGGCCTCAAAATAATTAAATTAATATCCAAATACATGTAATAGTAAAATAGAATATTCATAAAAAATGTATAAATTGTTCAACGCATTTTTTATTTATTTGCTGCAGCACTCCACTTCCCGCAGTTATGTCATAGTCTGCATATAAAGATATTATAAAAACCTTTTTGTGTGTTCTGTGTGTTTTGCAGATGGTAAGGACCTGTACATCGGAAAGGCAGTGCAGAAGGCTTACCTGGAGGTCACAGAGGAAGGTTCAGAAGGAGCTGTTGGATCTGGTATCTCGTTTTTTTCCCCCTGTCCTGACTTTAGAAATGCATATTTTGTGATCGTGTAGAACAGAATATAAACAAACTCCCCCCTCTCTTTCTCTGTCAGGAATGATTGCCCTGACCAGGACTCTGGTGCTGTACCCGCAGGTCATGGCGGATCACCCATTCTTCTTTGTCATCAGAAACAGAAGGACAGGTGCATATAAAACTAGATGCATTATTATGAACCCTCGTGTGGAGAACATTCCAAAACTATTCATGTTGAAGTTATTAATCTTTTATCATTTCACAACAACAAACCTTTGAAGTATTTTACTAGATTTGAACATTATAAGCCAACACAAAGAGGTGTCAGTTTAGGAATTAAATCTAAAAAGTTGTCTTTATTTCAAGGCCCTTCGACCCCCATTGCTCATAAGTAAAATCTAGCGTTAGTATTTGCCTTCAGATGGAACGTGGGTTAAATCGTCACTTCTGTAATTAAATCTCTCCAAGTACAGCTGTACTGAGCAGACAGTATGGACAAGGGTTTACTGTTTACTGTTGGTCATAAAATAGAAATACATAACATAGATGAACCTATAGATGAAAGTAAATACATGTTAGAGTGGTCTATCACAGAAAATGAATCAAATAGTTAAACCTCTAGCACAGAGGTCACGGATTAGCGGACCATGGTCTGGATCCGGACCCACCTGCTGGCTAATCTGGACCCAACCTGATTTAAAACATTTATAAATTACTGCATGTTGTCCGATGACAGTGTCTAACCCCGAAATCCCACATCCTCCGTCTGGGTCAATATGGGTGAATTGGAACAGAGGCGCACTCGTGACATCACCACATGCCCAGCTCCTCTAGAGCTCCATTTCACCTCCTGTTTTTAATACTCTCTAGATAACAATAAATTCTTCCTTTTTTTCATTTAGTGGGGGAATAAATATTCACACAGTCAGATAAACACAAATCAAATGAACATTTTGCAAAATAAAACAAAAAAATCGCCATCAGAGCAAGTAGTACTATGCCAAGAGAGGGCTCCTGCAGACGGGCTGTGGTTAGCCCTGGCTGCCAGTAGCCTTGGAGGTCCGCTGGTTGCCGTTGTCCTCTCAACTTCGGAATTGTCGGTAAATGACCTTATAGTGATGCTTTAAAGTATAATATTCTCGCCTCAAATTATCTTAAAACATATTTTTATTGAACAACAGCAACAGAAAAGAGAACTTTTAATTGAGCTCTCCATTGAAAGCTGCTGCTGCCGCAATGCATGCTGGGACAGCTGTCAATCTCAAGAACGGACAAGTGTGCTCTGATGCATACTCGCTAAACAGGGAGGACCGAGAACAACATCCGGGGACTTTGTCTGTGCTCGGTCCTCTCGTTCTTGTGAATTGGAACAGTACTAGGGCTGAGGTTGATGACGTTTCACGAGTACACAAGCACATAAGAATGCACAAGTACACATTGAGAAACGGCCCAGGTTTTAGAAAAATATCAGTTGTTGACACAAATGAAAGCTCCTTTTGATATGTTTTTATCTGTGTGTTTGTTTCTAAGGCTCAATCCTCTTCATGGGAAGAGTCATGACCCCCGAAGTCGTTGACCCCTTCGACCCAGACTTCGACTCCATTTAGTCGACACGGACGGCCGCTCTATCTCTGCAAATCAAATCTTGACATCATAAATGCTACCTATTCTCTATCGCCACCCTCAGCTGTATTTTATACTCTTTACAAAGAATATTATCCTATTAGTATATGATATAGAAAATATGACATACAGCATAGTGTATGATGTTACTGTGTTTTATACTTGGAGCTTTAAATTCTTGGATACAGACAAGCAGGCAAAGATTGATGTAAATATTTGGGAGTAAAGTGCGGTTTGTATGAGCACGGACACACTGTATGTAATCCATGCATCCCCCTTTAAGTTCAGCTCAGCAGCTTCTGCTCTTTACTCACTTGCTAAAAATCAAAAGGCACATGAAATATAACACTTTAAGAGCGACGCTACTGTAACATTCTTGTACGATTGGCATTGTGTTCTGTGTACATGAATATGCTTACTATTTATTGCAGATTGAACTGCGAGAGCTTAACCTTCCTAAAAATATCTTAGTATCTTTGCATCGGGACGATTTTCTCTCTGATGTAGGAACATGGTTAACTACTGAAAAAATGACTATGCCTTATCATATGCGAATGGTTCATTGAGCCTGCGCTTGGCATCTTACAGGTAGGCCGAGGGGATTTTGTAACTAGGCCATGTTACCATGGAGACGGAGGATGCAGGTAGATCTGAAATCGTTTGGATGTACAATTTGAAGGAAACCGTAACACCAGCTGTATTGATTATTTTATCTGACAAAACATGAATGTGTTTTCTTTAAATCTGTCTCTCTCTAAATATATATATATATAGAGATATATAACCTTTTGTGTGTGAAGATTATGCTTTTGTATTGCTGAAGGACACTAGGCTTAAAACAACATGGCTTGAAAGTTACTTAACTGTTAGAAGAACATATAAACTTCTGCTATGTCTGAGCTGGGTTATTTGAATAAAATTAGGAAATGAGAAAAAAATCAATAAAAGGCATTTTTTCTAAAAACATATTGAACTGTATTTTTTCACGAAATCAGAACGGTATTATCCTACCAAAAATCCCAGGAGGGACGTAACCCAACTCCTTAAAACAAACAAGCATCCAAAAAGGAGGAGGTTAATTTAAGCATTTACAGTATTTTAACCATGAAGTTCTAGATGTAAGAGAGTAATGTAATGCAACAGCTGCAAAATGTATCAATACTAATATCACCCGGGTCCAATGTGTGTTTTATCAAGCAGCTTTCATGTTGAGGAACTACAGCTGTTTGATAGGAGGTAACGTTTCTTGTACCAGCTGGTATGAGATTTTTAGCTTCTGTCTTATGTTCCTATCGTTCCTCTTACAAAAGGCTATCTAAAGTGCAGAATGTAGACATGGAAAACAAGAAGGTTGTTCGAGCAGAAGCGACGCTGCAGTAAGTTGAGTTGTTTGATCCATTCAAATATATATAGACTAACAGAAGGATTTTAAAGTCTGTTCTCTGAGATACAGGGAGCCAGTGGAAGGTCTTCAGAACTGGGCTGATGTGCTCTGCTTTCTTAGTTCTAGTGAGAACATGGGCAGCAGAGTTTTGGATAAGCTGCAACTGTCTGATGGACTTTTTAGGCAAAACCTAATGAACATGCTGTTGCATCAATCAATTCTACCAAAGATAAATGCATGAATTAGTTTTTCTAGATCCTGCTTGGGCATTTGTCCTTTAATCCTGGAAATGTTCTTCAGGTGATAAAAGGCTGACTTAGTAACTGCCTTTATTAGCCTCTGAAGGTTCAGACCGGAGTCCTCATGACACCAAGATTTTGGCAACAATCACTGGTTTCTAGCTCTAGTAGCTGAAGCTTTGAGCTAACTTTCGATCTCTCCTCCTTTGGTCCAAAGATTATTACCTCAGGGAAAATTATGGTGCATCCACATATTAAGCATCTACCCAAGGCTCTGATGGGTTCATAGTCACCTGATGAAATTGCGATCTAAAGCTGAGTTTCGCCTGCATAGTTTTGGTTACTGATCTTGTTTTCTATAATCTGAGCTAAGGGGAGCATGTAGATGTTTAATAGGAAGGGCCTCAAAATGGAGCCTTGAGGAACTATGAATGTTATTTTGCTGATATCAGATTTAAACCAGTCCAGTCCTGTACCAGAAAGGTCGATCCAGTTTTTCAGGCGCTCCAATAAAATCAATGATTAATAGTGCTCAAGCTTTGTATAGAAGCTGAGTACATGTAAAGTTTAACTGGTCTCAGTTAATCTCATTCACCCACTCCATATCCTACCAAGCAGTGATGTCCTATGCTCCCAAAACCACAGTCTTCTAGAAAGCAGCATTTCAAGGCCACCCATCTAGCCTGGCACCCAGTTTGGATGTTACAGAATACTAATGTTCCTCATTGCAGGGGATGGGCAGTAAAGAGGAAGGCTTCCTGTAGCTTTTCTGGGTTTAGCCCAGCTGAGCCCGTGGATTCAAGCCTCAACCTTTCTCCCTGGCAAGCTCCCAGTCTCCCTAATCCAGATTAGATTGGGCTCTTTATTTGGTCTGTTTTGTTTGGATAACTGAATTTAATTTAATCATATCCTTCCCTGCAAAACAACTTCCCCAGGAGGTCCAGGTGTTGAAACTATGGACAACATAGATCACAGGGGTGCAAAATAACAGTTCACTAGAGGATACGTTATGATGATTTAAAGGAGAGGGGTTCATAAGGATGGGCAGCCCACTTGATTTTAATCTGCTCAGTGTTGTTATTGGAGTTCTTTGCATGGGAAAAAATGTCCATAAAACAATACAGTGTTTAAGTCAGGGCTGCAACCGACAATTATTTTGTAAGTCTGTCGATTAGTTAATTTATCAACTATTCTTTCAGTTTAAAAGGGATACCTCAGTTAATAATATATGATTAGTAAATCAATCATAATAATCAAATTACTTGTTTAAGATTATAACTGAAAATAAGTTCATAACTGTATTTGGTTTCATCTTGGACCAAAGGTCAGACCTGCAGAGTAATATCTGGGGCATTTAGCAGAGAAGGCTGTCGGACAAACCTGATGAGAGCTGATGAGGTGTGAGGAAATGGCATTAAATCACATTAAAAGGTATACAGTAAACCGCTTTTATTATGATTAACACATGAAAATAAAAAACACGAGAAATTTGCTTCAGCATCTATTTCAGGACTGAAAACGTTTCCAGTAGGAGAGACTTCTTTAACCAACATGCTAACTATGCATTATGAACTAAGTAAATGGGTGATAAATTAGTTCAGTTTAACAGTTCCTTTCTTGAAAATAATTTTCAGATATATTAAATCAGATCACGTTAACATGCAAACATTTTATCATTGGAAAAGTCTTTCTTTTTATCAAACTGTTTCAGAAAGTCTTTGTTTGAAGTTCAATTTAGCTTAGAGTCAATTTTGTCCCACCATGACTTTGAAAAATCATTTAGTTTGTTGTGTTAAACGAATAAATCATAAAAAAGGAAAATAAAATTAAAAAAAATGTAGGGACTGAAGTTTTTCTTTTTAAGGTATTTTCAGATGGGGTCAGGAAAAAGGTGACCCTGATTGCCTGGCAACCGAAAGCTTGGTGCTTTTGTACAGCTTCCGGTAAGCAGCCTCATTCAGTGACAGCAGGTCCGCTCCGGTGTCAGACTCTGGGCCGTGGAGCTGATGTGACGGTGAACTTTCTCTGAGTGAATATTAACAAAGCCAACGGGCTCCATGGGTAACAGCTGCTTGGCTGCTGCGCTTCAGCGAACAGCTCAGAATGTTTTACTAAAGGGCAGGAGAGTCCATCACAAGGCGATTGGGACATGTCAGAAAGGTATGTACCATTCAGAACAAATTTGGATACCGGTAGTTTTCCTTTTTAAATAAATGTACAAAATATATTTAATAATTTTCTTTTCAGTTTTTATTATGGTCTGCAGAAAACAAGAATGATAAATTATAGAAACACCAGAGTCCATCTATCACCTGCAGACAGGGACTATTATAAGCTAACAGCACCTGCTCAGATATCCACTGGTGCCACGGCAACGGGTCCTAATCTGCATTGTCAGGCCCTGTTCACTGTAACTCTAACCACCCGGCCAGTGGTCAGGGTGTCCATCAGCACACACACAAGGCTTACATTACGATAACAGAGCATACAACTCTCATTAAACCAGAGAGGAAGAATGTGGTGGCGCACCATTCTCATCTCAGTTTTTTTGTTTTTTCATATTTCCTTTGTTTTTTTCTCCTGTCAGTTCTTCTGGTGTAAACACTCTCAGCGGAAGCTTTCCTAAATCCCACTCATCCCAGTATTCAGAGCTCGTTGTTAGACCTACACCTCTGTCAGTGGACCACAGTCCTGATTCTGGACTGGTTTCTACACCTGTGAGTAACACACACTAACTTCTGCTGCTAAGCTCCATATTTGCTCCTATGCTCTGCAGAATCTCAATAATAAATGTTGTATTTCCTAGATTTGACTTCACATATGGGGGATAATTATAGGCAGAAGCATGTGTGTGCTATGGGAGCTCCAGTTTTTCCTACTGTTCCAAACCTGTACATGGAAGTGGTAGAAAAGAGAGCTTTAATGTCTCTTCCAGGGACACCAGCAACCAATTGGTTCAGGTATAACGATGAAACTTCTTAGGAAGTCCAACATTCCCCATAATCACATCAACGTTGTGGATAAGTTAATTAAGTTCACACAAAAAGATGCAATAAATGCAAGCAGGATAGTCATCCTGGACAGTGACATCTCAGTTTTAGATTAAGGACAGTTAGAAAAAGACTTTTACAACAAACCTACACAAATAGACCAGTATTTGCAGTCTGGCTTTCATTACCCTCTTGGGCACAAGACTGAAGTCATCAGGACTCTATAACAGAGCAGACACCAGGGAGAAGGAGAAATTACACATAAGACAGGCCTAAAAACAATTGTCCTAACTGGGATTTTCTTAAAGTAGACAAGAAACCCAAACAGGACCACAGAGGTGTTTAATTTCTACACATGACGTCCCAGTGGCTTTCCAACCCCAAAGAAAAACAGCAAAGACTGCTTGACACCAACGATCCGGGTCCCTGACACAAACAGGGTAATATTGTATATGCTGTCATGCCTTTAAATATCAGGAGGACTGTGACCAGAGAAATATCAGGGAAACAAAGCAGCCATTGGCCAAACGCATGGCCCAGCACAGAACATCATCATCAGGCCAAGATCCAGCAGTTTACACTCATCTCTAGGCCAACAGTCACTCGTTAAGGGATGAAATGTTCTCATCCTGGATAGGGAGAAACGCTGGTTTAAAAGAGAAGCAAAGGAAGCTATTTTTCTTAAGAGAAACAATTCATCTTTAAACAGGGTAGGGTCCATCTGTCATTCTGTACAATACTGTCATTTCTATCAGGAGTCACTCCTCTGGAAACAAGCAGTCAGAGTAAGAATGATCGATCGTTAGGCATTTGGTCCTTGTTTGCATCGGAGCAACCAGTTTTTTGTGCAACCAGTTGCACAACTTTGCAAACAGTAGTGCTTATAAGGCTGGGCTCACTCGGAATTCTTTAGACTGAATGTGTTTTTGTCTTACATTTCAACAAATAAGAACCTGTCCAGATGGATTTGCTGCAATGCTTTTAATTTTGTAAAGGGAAACTTAGTTTTTCATCCTTTATACTGTTATTAACCTTTTTTTTATTTTATTCATTCATTGTTTTTCTATCTACAAGTTTTTTACTTTCATGCTGTCAACAGAAAAAGGAAAATTCATCACCTTTTTTTTTCTTTTTCTCTCCAAGTAGAAATTTTCCTTTTATATAACATCTACAGTATATAGATCTTTCTGCAGATCCTACTCAAAAGGCACGCTTTAGTGCAATTCATCTTTTGTCTCTTGCTGTGCCTTGCAAAGAGTGTGCACAACGTGTTTGGGTTTCCTAACACTTCCTCACTTTGCAAAGTCTGTCTCTTCTCTTTGGATTTTATGCAATAAACCAGCATGATATAGTGCCAAGCAAAAAGAAAAGCACACATGGAGTTTTAACTGACTATGAATACAAATCTGAACATTGTTTTTTTTTTTTACATTTACAATCAGCCCCATCGATTCTGTACGTCATTCTGCCACAAAATCTAGATTGAAGGCCTGGACATTCTAGATATTTTATATTAGCTCTGGCTGTGAACCTTCTTTGTAGCATCTGCCAAGTTTAATTTCAAAGACATGGACTCTGTTTAATGCTTAGGTGACTTTTGTACCTGAATGCTGCAAATGGATTTTATTGATTAAACCAAAAGGACTTTATATGCATGAATGCATCAGTTTTCTCAAAAATTGGTTGACATTTTATAAGCAATGTTTGATTTCTTTCTTTTCACTACTTTAAGCCACTTTTCGACAGTCAACAAAATAATCTATTTTCTCTCCTTTTTTTTTTTTTTAGAATATTTTACTGGTTTACTAATTTTATTCGACGAGATCAGGTGTCTTCGGACTGTTTTAGTAGTGTCCACTCTGTCAGCAGGTGTGCAGTGGTCAAGTGCACTAGGATCATTCCTGTGTCTGTGTGTTAACAGATGTGGGTGTGAAGTTACAAGAGTGAGTTTGAGGGGTGAAAAGGGTCAAACAAATGGATAGTCACAACTTCACTTACCACTAAAAACACAAAATGGAAAAAAAAGAAGGAATTTTTGTTGCAGGCTGATTCATGTTTCTTAAAATGTCCTACATTAAATCTTAAGATTAAGCAGCCTTTAGCGGCTCGACTCAGGCTCAAGTTAACAGGTCGCTGCTTGATAATTGCCTTTAAAATGGTGCATTGATTGTGCCTAATTGTGGAGTTTGGCTTTAGGGAAGCCATGGTACATTAAACATAAGTATATCCTCTTTTCTGTGTTGAATTTAGTTTAAATTTGGGTGAAAAACATGATTTACTGTTGAAATCATCAGTTAATCCCATGCTTTAGACTATTGTGTACTGGTTGTTTGTTGTTATTGATATTGATAATGACATGTATTAAAAGTGCTTCACTGAGACCAGCACATAACCTGCCCTTTTCCTCTTCTCCTTTACAGCTTCCTTCAAGTCGCTTCCAGTTTGTACCATGGCACCGCCTGGAGCAGTGCGATGTCACCGGCGACCAGCTGACCTGCCCCAGGGTTAGAGAAGGCATGTCATCCCCTAAAATATCTACAATGTTAATCAGCTGATGTAATATGTTTAAATATTGGTGGCTTATGGAGACTTTTATAACATCAGATATCAGAAATATCACAAAGCTGCAATTATAATTAATCAGTTTGTTTTGTTGTTTTTCTCATAAATAGGACCATCAGAGGAAGACCTTCATTTTAGAGAGGGAAGAGATTTCTGTTTAAACAGAGGAAGGAGAAAGAGGAGAGAGGAGGAAGGACAAAGCTGGGAGGAGAGATTGAAGGAAAATTGGGAAAACTGTCTGGTATGCCACAGGACGCTGCATTTATTGACTGAATTAGTTAGGATGTATAAAAAGCTGTAATAAATTCATCCTGCATTGTAGCTTCAATATTTATGCAATTTCCAACATCTAATGATTTCACATCATAAGATAACTCTGTCTGAATTTCAGTGTACCACCGTTACAGTATAGGCACTCATGCAGATTAGTCCCGGAAAAAAAAATCTTTGGCCTCAAGGGCATACCTCAACCTTTCCTCTTTACATAATTTCTCTCTATCGTGTGTCCTGTTTAATGTGTTGGTCTCTTTTAAAAGATGTGTAACAGGATTTGGGTCAAGAGATTAAGATGACTAATTAAAAGGTCAATTTTGTGGCTGATTAACTATTTCTGTCATGATATGGCTGCATTTGGATCAATGTCATGTAAAAATATCCACTGATCACTAGTGTTGCACCGATACCAACACCAGTATCGAGCAGGGCCCTAAAACTGCACTAAAATGGTTGTATTGGTATCGGCGAGTACCGACAAATATGCACCGATACCATTTTGAGAGCCAAAAGTACATTCAGCTATTGTCACCCATACCAGGTACTGTAGACAATAAAAAGTTCTACAGGATTCACTTTGTATTAGTCTTTTTCCTGCTTCACAAAGGTATGCAGCAGCTTGACAAAGCCATGATGGCAATTATTATACATCCAAGAAGTATGCAGTTCTTCATATACACACACACACACACAGATCAATTAGTATCGGCCAATACTGCACAGCCAGGTATCGGGTAACGGGGCTAAAAAATGACATTGGCGCAACACAGCTGATCACCCATTTCTAATTTTCCGTTAGAGGTTAGCAGCTTTTTTAAAAATACCTTTTATATTTCCAAAATTGTTTTATGTAATGAACTCTTTCAAGGTTTCAAGAAAAAGTTGCACTTCTTCAGTATATCTCAAACAGAGTAACAGAAAACGCCCAAGAATTATTTGGCCAAAAGGCTATTTAAGAACTGAGTAACTGTTTACTTTTTAAAATGATGTAATCAGACAGACATAACATAGAGTTCATTTGCAAATTTCTTTTCTTTCAAATACTATGATAAAGCAATACATGCTAATAAAACATTGGAAAGTAAATTTAGGCAGAAGAAACAATTAAAGAAATGTTTCTACACAAGATAATTTCTTACACTTTATAATCAATGCATGATAGAAGAGGGTCAACAATTTCCAATGACAATATAAACTTTTACTGTACAATTTATATACACCCCTCTTGTTTAGTCACTGTAAGACTATGAAGCTAAACTGAAAGATTAAACAAATTCCGGTTTCATCAATGCATCTTTACCAGGGCTGCCAATAAAAATGGAGGTGACTTAATTGCTTTCTTGCCAAAAAAAAACCTAAATAGAATAGAGAGAGAGGAGGCACTGAAACCTGCTAATGTCTGTTTTAACTGCCTCTCCACAGGAGCTAAATCTGTCCTACCAAGACCTGGGAGATCCCTACCAGAGGGAAAACTTTTTTCGAATCCTTCGACGCTTGATCCGTGTAGAGAAACTACAGCTGATCGACAATTCACTCACTGACCTGAGTTCAGTACGTCTGCCAAGGTAAAGCCTGCTCTGGTAAGAATATGTGATAACTCCCTTGTCTAGTCTCTCCAAACACACCGGATCACCGGCGAAAATTATTGGACATAAAAAGCACCAATGCACAATTAACACAGATACAGCAGCACGTCAAAATGTAAAAATGACAAACACAACAACATACATTTGAAGGCGTACAGAAGCCATTTTATAAATCCAATCTTCAATTGTTTATACTCTATTCGTTCATTAGGGTCCACAGATTAAAAGTAATGCAGCATATCCGTGATAAAAATATTCCATGATGAGAAAATTTCCCATAACATCCGGATGTTGACATCAGAAAAGTTAGTTGGTCATAGCTAATGCTTAGCACCTTGCTGATATTTACTACCTAATAATTATTTCCTCAGTTGTTAGCCTGCAATGTTTGGTAAGGTTCTTTACATCATCTTCTTACCTACAAGACAAAAGTATCTGCATCTTTAAATGACACGATTTTAGGCAGGGACAGTCAGTCCTTGCCAATGACGCACCGAGTAGAGCGATATTATGCCTCATAGAGTCCTGCTGTTATTGGTTAAGACCACATGGGCTGTTTGGCTTTGTAGCCAATGAAATAAGGTTTTGAACAAGCCAACACATGGCTGGGTTATATTAGGCTGAGCCGTGTTACTGGCTTGCATAAGAGTGAAATACACAGCTGGAAATGGATCAATGCTCGCAGCTCCAAGTAGAGTAATAACAATGGTCATATATTTTTTTAAGTTTGGACACTGATTTTGTTTTATTACAATGCCTAAGGCTGAAAAAAAAAAATACAACTCAGAAAAGGCACTGGGGCTTATTTTAGGTTGAAAAGGTTTATTCTTATTCTCTTCTATTACTTAGGAGAAATATACCGCCTTGCTTGATGAAGAGTCATTTTATACAGCAGTAAACAATTTTTCCAGACTAGGTAGGATTCCTGTAGGCATGTAGAGCACCATTTTCTTTCCAGTTTTCTAGCATTTTGCTTCAAAGTGCGCAGCTCTGCATTAAACCTGGGAGCCAGCTCTCTATTTTTGAAGTTTTTCTTTTTCAAAGGGGCTACTTTGCCTAAGGCAGTATGCAGAGAACTAGCAACCCTATCAACAACCCCATTAACAAAATTTAGAGTAAAGGAGGCCTCTTAGATGAGATGTGAAACGTCTTCTAGAAACGTCCAGTTGTCTAAACTGAAACTTTCAAGCTTCACCACAACCTGACTGAGAATCTTCACAGATATATTTAATTGAAGGTGTAATTAAAGAAAACAGCTTTTGGAGAAACCTTTTCATCCCTCTGAATTAAAGCAGAATCCATATTAGGCTTTCATGATGATCATTGCTCTTCGTGCCTGCCTGTATTTTCCTTTATCCTGTTGGTTATCAGATCTTATAGCTGCTAAAATTGTCTCTTTTTTAAAAGTTTATATGATTTGTCATGCTCTGTGCAATGGCGTAAATACCCCACCACGACTCTGGTGCAATAAACTGGAGGAAATGGATGAATTAATAATTTTGTTTAACTTTTTTATTCTGTCCTTAAAAAAATAAAAAATCTCTCCCATATCAGAAGCAATGTTCCTATTTTATCTGCTACCACATCCATTATATCATTTTCTGGGGCTTTTAGGACCCTTTATAAACATGATGAAGCTTCAGTGCAAACAAGAAGTCCTGTTTGTTTTTCGTCCAAGCAGGTGCAAAATGCTAAACCTGCATCGTAACCACCTGGTGTGTCTGCGTCAGCTGCCAAAGCTCCCAGCGGTGGAGCATCTCACTTTATCGGAGAACGCCATCAGCTCCCTGCGGGGACTGGGGGCTCTGGGGAGCAGCCAGCTGCGCTCCCTCAACCTGACCCGCAACCCGGTGACCTTCAGCCTGGACTACCGTGCACAGTGGGTAGAGAAAGGCTATAATAACATTCATCCCTTGGACAATATCTTAATTTGCTGCTTTTTCTCTTTTTATAGTGTTTTCTCCTGTTTGCCAAATCTTGAGGTTTTGGACGGCATTCCAAAGTTGCCAGGTGACTTGTTGCCCCTCCGAGTAAAGGGCCCGGAAACCAGCAGGATGTGCAATATTTTATGACTCTTTTTCAGACTTAATTCTGATATTCAATTCAGCTACATTTATAACGTGTGAAACAACACAGAAAACTTCTGTCATTTTCCTTAAACAACAGTCAGTGGAGAAACGATTTCATGATTCATTTAAATGATCAAAAACTGCTTGTGAGATACTAGATGAAAAATGTTAATTTGAGTGAATCACGTCTGAATTTTGCTTGTATTTTATAAGTGACATATTTTGTACTTAATAAAGATGTTTGTATAATAATTTGTGTAACCTTTAATCTATCTATTCATAGCATTTTACTAGTTAAAACAAAAAATTGGTCTTGGAGGTAAAAGCCAAAAACACAGAGAAAGAGATCCATCTCCTAAGTGATTAACTGGGATTTACTTTATGGATCCCAAGAAGTTTGCAGGGTGAAATGTTTTAGTGGAGTCTCCTCCCAAGGGGAGATTAACAGAAAACCTCAAAAAAGATGGAGGCAGTTCTGCTTCTAGCTCTTACTCCCAACTCTAAATCTGAACCCAGCCCCACTGAATAGAAACTATATATGAGCTGCTCATATTTAGATCATGTTTGTTTGGTCATAATTCATAAGCCTTGACCATAGGTGAGATTCAGTTCATTAAAGGAGAATTCCCGTTTTTAACACTTTTAGCCCATTTTCTGTAGCGTCCAGGATGAAATCGAATGATCGACACCAAAATTTTGACAATTGGTTCTGTCTCTGCTTTTTGGCTCATGCAGAATCCCCCCCTGGCTGCTTCAGAATGGCTTCCATAGTGCATGTCCGATAATGTCCTTAAAACAACCTTAAACGTTCTTTTTTTAAAATATGCTACTCACCGGGTCGTCAGCGCTGTTCAATGACGTTCCAAAAAAAGTTTCGTAAAGAAAAAACGTTCCTGTAGTGTTTTATTTAGCATTTTGTAAATCCCATTGAGTTCTGTTGGAATAGTCAATATCCCTCCGCCACCGGAAACGGAAATGGGGCCTGTTTACACTTAGTTGTAGTCTTTTCGCAAGGCCCAAGTGTTTCTGCTTCACTCTGTGTACTCCGACGTCGAGGTGCTAACGTCTCTGTTAAACACTTTAAAAAACTCTGAAAATGGAATACGAAAGGTGGATTCTTGAGGAGGACATATTGGACTTTGAGTTTGACGGTAGAGGATACCGTCGCCAACTAGTGGTCTGGAGTGTGCAACGCTTCAGATTCGAACCGGAAGCGGAAGTTTATAAGCGGTTGTGATGTATCGGAAAAAATAGTTCTGGGATTTACAAAATGCTAAATAAAACAAGACAGGAACGGTTTTTCTTCACGAAACTTTTTTTGGAACGTCATTGAACAGCGCTGACGACCCGGTGAGTAGCATATTTAAAAAAAAGAACGTTTAAGGTTGTTTTAAGGACATTATCGGACATGCACTATGGAAGCCATTCTGAAGCAGCCAGGGGGGGATTCTGCATGAGCCAAAAAGCAGAGACAGGACCAATTGTCAAAATTTTGGTGTCGATCATTCGATTTCATCCTGGACACTACAGAAAATGGGCTAAAAGTGTTAAAAACCGGAATTATCCTTTAATTGGTGCAAATATAGATCAACCTGTCTTGATCAGCTCAAATTCTTTCAAATTTACAGAAATTAGGTTTCTAATACATATGTACAGCACATATGAAACAGATTCATACTCATTGAAATGTTTTACATTTTGCCACTTAAACACTGCAAACTTCAAATGACACTAATGCATGATTAAAACGTGGAGAGAACAGGACACAGGATCTTCTCATATTTCTAAACACAAAACTCAGGAAAGTGTTATCTATATTGGTACTTAGTAATTCTATTTACCTTTGGTCTATTTTACTTAATTCTCCCAATTAGTAGTTCACTATTTCATCATTAAATCTCAGAAGGAAAGGGCCTGAGATACAGGTTCCCTTTCCACCAGAGCAACATCACTAATAATAAAACTAAAATGGAATGGTAAAAATTATATTATATTATTATTATTAGAATGGTACAGTCCAAGTCCCAACCTAGATCCAACTGAGTCCATACTTGATATTTAAGGCTATTGGATGCTGTTTCATCAGAAATTGATTCACACTTTCCTCTCTAGATGTTCAAAGCAAGTGGAGCTTCTCCCAGAAAGATTGCAGTTCTGAATTGACTGATTTTACAAAATATTAACTTTGCTAGGGTAAATATAAAAATATACATCACCTTATTCACAGAGACAAAAAAAACTATTCACACACACACCTAAGGAGAACTGTAGAGAAGACAATTAATCTGAATGTCATGTTTTTGGACTGTGGAGAAAGCCAGTGTACCCAGAGAGAACATGCAAACTCCATGCAGAAACCCCCGAGCCAGGAATTGAACCCCAAACCTTCCCATTGTTCCACTGAGCAGCCCATGTATCCTTCCCCTCCTCTTCATGTATCCTTCCCTTCCTCTTCAAATATCTGTATATTTTTGCATTGGTCAGTAATATAAAATTCCAATAAGATACTGTTTTTGACACAAAGTGCTATAATTGGAGGAAATGTGTGACAGCTCATAGGGGGAAGAGCGCTTTGGTGACCTCCTGTATATTTCCATGATTTAAAATAGTAGCTGGGTCAGATGACATAAAATGAGAAATACAGGACATCCTCTTTAGAGACTTATCAAATATTTATAGTTCAGACTCCTTTGGATAATGGCCTCTCATGTCCTCCTGCTGAAAGGGTAATGACCCATCAGCTTCATGCACACATGCACACACAAAGCGCAAAGAAAAGAGTAGGAGGATTTTACTACATTTAATATGCCTGGATTTACTAAAAATCTAGCTAAACATGTGTGTGCTACCTGATTATAAAAAGCGTAATTGTTCATTTACAGTTAGAACCAGATATTTACATACCGTGTACAAATAGATTAGGATTTATTCTACTGATTAAATCAGTTTCATTTTTTCTTGTTTGAGGTCAACTACGATGACCATGATCTGTTTTCTAAATATCAGAATAAGGAGAGAATCGTTCAAAGTTTTCAAATTTTCTCCAAAGACAGAGGTTTACACAATACTAGTGTAAATTTTGGAGGGAAAACATGATAACATGTTTTTTTAGTATTTTAAATTGATTTTAAAGGCAACATAAAGCATTATTGTATGATGTTATGTGAAGTTGTGGGTCTCCACAGATCTGACTCTATATTTGTGTACTTTTCCCAGACAGCCGAGGTTTCCATGTTAATCTGATCATATAATTCAACCTGAAAGACTCACACAGAGAAAAGCTAGAATTAGAAAATACTTAATTTATTTATGCAGGTAACATAATCATATTCTTCAAAATATTTTTATCTAAGAAAAACCAGCCGATTGCAAGGACTCATTGACTATCTGCAATCCCTCACTCCAAGCATGCTTGTAGCGACAGTGGAGAGAAAAACTCAATTTTAACAGGTAGAAACATCCAGCAGAACCAGGCTCGGTGTGAGCAGCCATCTGCTGAGGCCGACTGGGTGTTTAAGGAGACAGAAGCAGATGAAGATATAAACGAAATATGTTATTTGGCCACCGGGCCCTGAAAAACTTAAATCCTGGGACCCGGACAGTGATGGTGGAATAAGCCAGAGGGCGAGTGATACTGAGAATGAGGGAGGAAATGGGATGGAGGTGGGTGAAAGTTTGCTTGCATATGGGAAAGAGAGGGTGGACCAGGAGCTTTTCCTCAGATAGAAAACTTTGAATCAATTTGACTGTATGATCTGGTGAAATGTAAAGTGCTTTGAGATGACATTGCTAATTGGCGCTATATAAATGAACTGAATTGAAATGAAATGAAGGGGATCTGGAAAGATGATTGGTTTAGGTGAGGCTTAAGCTTCATTTACATGCTGGTACAAATAGAATTAGAATTAGAATGTCCAGCCATCATACCAATCTGGAAAAAGATGGGTTTTGTATTCCAGAAATAAAGACCTTGTGAAGATAAAGCTTGTAAGAGAATGTAAAAGCACCACAGTAAAATGAATCATGGACCAACATGGACTGAAAAGCTCTGAGAAGAGGAAGCAATAACGGCAAAAGCAAGAAATAAAAATGTAACTTTGAAAATGCAATCATAGACACAGATTTTCTCAGAAATTTCTTGTGTTTTCATGAAACAAATGTTACAAATTCTTTAAATATAATGTTAATTGTTAATTTTGGGAGGAGCTAATAAGACTAATACCATAGCATCCCAGCTTTGAACTAAAGGGCTGCCGGCATCCTGTGGATATTTTACAGCAAAACAACAGAAAGAACATTAACTTGGCCACAAACTGATATTCATATTGGACTCTCTGCCTAAGATAAGTAGTGAGTAGTTCATTTAATAGAATAAGGTTTAAGAGTTGCCTCAGTTGTTTTGTGAACGTTGTAGCCATAGCCGTGTACAAACAAGGTTGCCTACAAAACCTGACACACTTCCACCAGTTCTGTCAGGAAGAATTAGCCAAAGTTCAACCAAACTATTGTAGGAAGTCTGTGGATGGAAAACCAATACTTTTAACCTAAATGTTGAAGAAGGCAACTAACTTTAACAAATGTTTGGAAATATATTAAAATAAAAATTGAAGAAATCCAAATAGATTTCCTACTCATTATTTATCAAAAAGCAATAGTTGGTCGTTCTTACCAAAAACAAAAAGGTCTGATGTCAAAAAAGATTATATGTTTCTTTTAAAAGTGTTTGGTTTCAAATATAAATGGACTGTGGAGCTTTCCCACCTCCTATTGACTTATTAATACAATGGAGCATTCCGCTCTGTTTAACAATAGTTTCAGTTTCAGCGTTCGCCTCTCACATAAGCACACCAAGCCATCTGATATTGCAGTCTATATAAATATGAATAGCTGCCACACATGCAACCAAGGCAGCGGCCCATAAATAATAACAATGAGCACACTGACAAAGGCAGAAACAGCTCAGCACTCTGTAATTCAGAAGAATAAACTACACTACAACGTAAGCAACATTGGCGCTCTAACAAGCGCGTACGGCCCTACATATAATGCAGTTACATGCCTCATCAGGACTTGCTTAACTGCAAAATATTGTTTATGCAGTCGTGAGTTTGGTTGAACTAGCCAAGTCTCCAGCTGAAGAGTGAGGGAGGCT